TGATGAAAGGCGGGCTCAACCAAGAAAGCAAGAATTAGAAAAATGCGTGTTACACTGCACTAATGACTTTTACAAAACAACACTTGTGCGCATGTAAATATACATAATACAGTGTATATTTTCTCTCTATATATATATATATTCATTTCATAATTCCTGGTCTCTAGGGACTTACAAAATAGCTAAAAAGTTAAAAACCTATCGGGACACTACCTTTATCTAAGGAATTACAAAAACCTGCTTGATGCAGTTCTTAAACGCGCACTGATGAGACAGGAAGAACAGAACACGTCGGTTCTCTGAAGTCGGTAAGACTCGTCCTGCCATTGTCAACACGGCCATGCCCTCCTTTTTCTGAATCATGACTCAGTCCCGGGGCTGCCAAAGCATCTCTAAGAGACAAGAGCATGATGAGGAGAGGGCTGCATTTGGCCAGCAGAGCATGGCCTCAACGACAATCAGGCCAGACTCCGAGAATTATGGAAGGAATTCAACTGCATGATCCAGGCAGGGAGCGCACATTCTCTGTTACAGCTCCTGAAACACGCAGGGTGGCGACCTTCCACACGGCAGGTGCCTAAATGTTTGGCACAAAGCAGGAGATAACGCATTTTCAGCGGGTAGGATTTTTCTACCAACAGTTAGAAGTAAAATGCAATTTCAAGAGAAGCTCAAGGAGGGGTTTGGATTTGGGCCTCATGCGGCGAAATGAAGATCTGTCATGACTGGCAGCCCTGGGCTGGGACCAACAGTCAGCCCTGAACAAGCAACACTGATGTTTTATAACCTGATATTTACAAATCTGAAGAAGGGAGAGAATTCCTAAGTTTTTATTTGGCCCCAACAGTCAATGCACTATAAACAAGATCAAACAAAATCTCCTACACTGGTTTCAGCTGTATCCAACTGAACTTTATTACAACCAGCTTGGAATTACAGCACCTCAGAGTAACACTAAGAAACAAAAATATACCTCTATTTCCAAAACTCAATAAAGCCCCCCAGTGTTGACACACCCACACACTGCACCTGGACTTGGGCTGTGTCCTGCCATTATTCGCCACAAGCCAGCGAAATGATCTCACGATGTCCTGCCCTTTGTTAAAAGGCCGAGATTTTACCAGGATAGAGACAAGCTAGTCTGATGATCTGCCACCCTGCCCCCAACGGAAATGGCCCAGAGGACAGCTGCCCAGGCTCAGCCCTGCTGGAGCTGTAGGCGCGACTAAAATAGAAGTCAGGAGCCAGCAAGTCACCAGAACGTGAGCGCTGGACAAAATGCAAACCCCTCCTGAGAAGACACAAACAAGGTTCCATTAAGACATTTTCTCTGGCTTGTAAAGGCAATTTCCTGCTCATCTCTACAGCTAAATTTTAATAATCCCTTAGCGAGCCAGTAAGAGATTCAAAGCATAACTGGGTCACCCTATAAAATCTCTAAGGTCCTGAACCGGAATGTAATCTCAAGATTAAAACCTGCCACAAAGCACAGCAAGCTTCTTTGGCTACACTGTAAGTACTACCTGACCCATATTAATTATACCATTTGAAACATTTCAGAGAAAATACTGCACTACCAAAGCCAGACATTCCAACTAGCAAAAACCAACTTCCACTGCACCAGACCACACAGCTTCTCTCTCCCTCCTGCTCCAGTACCTACCTGGTAGACAAAGCAGATGGTGGGTGCTTGGCAACCATATAAGAACTTGACGTCGATGACGTGTAACTCCTCCAGGCGAATGTTAAAGGCCTTGAGCTCTTTGTTGTCCCGGTCCAGTGGAATAACCTTGAAAAGGCCATCATAGAGTCGCAGGCCAATCATCCGGCACTCAGGGTCAATGATGCCAATGATGCCAGTCTCGGAGGGGCGGCCGATGCGGTCCTGAGAAGAAAAACTAGGGTTAGGGAAGGACCTCCACACCCAGCGTGACGGACTGCCCCTTTCCCAGTGCGATGTTCGGAGGCGTAGTACAACCAGAGGCGTCTACTTCCCAGACCAGGGAGTTCGAACATCAGTGCCTGCCTCTCTGAAAAACACTGAATCTCAAAGAACTGTCACCCTGTCCCCTGCATTCAGAGTAAACAACAGAAAAAGACTTTCTCCTGAGCATATTCACCTATTTCTCTGATCATGCACAGCCAACCAGCACTTAGAAGTTCTCAGCAAATCATGGCAGTCCCACCTGGGAAACTCGCCAGCTGGAGGGGCCACCTCACCTGGACATTGCCATGGGCTCTCGTAATTATGTCAATGCTCTCGCCACTCTGCTTGTACTCCAGGATGCAGGCGTTGTATTTCGCTGTCAGAATAAACAGGAGGTCCTTGCTCTCCCCCTGGAAACCAACATTGCACTATCAAAAGAGGTCCTTTTTAAAAAGGAATACCCGTCCAGCCTTAAGGCATCCTTTTTTAAGTATGCAAAGTTCTTTAAGCACTTTCTTTTCTCCTTGAGGAAAAATACCAAAGCTATAATAGGTACACATGCCCTAAGGGTATGTATGCAAGGCCAGAACTAAGGCTCAAAAACAGCCAATCTTCAATTTTAAGAATTTTCCATCTCTGTTCCACATACAATGTCTTCGCCTGTTTCCATCTCAAGCTAATCTCCAGCATTCCTTTGAAATTCTGAAAGATCAGTGTGATGCCTCCTCTAACCCTCAAGTATTCTGAGAAAGAACAAAAAAACTTGAGTAATAAAAGAAGCTAAAATGGATCTAACAAAGTCTTACTTACCAGAACCCGCCCCCCAAAAGTGAGTATTTTGCTTTGAGGGTTATTATTAAAACCTGGAACCCATTCCTTTCCTGTCAGATCCAGTTCAATATATTGAAGCAATGTGAGGGTATCTGGGTGAAAACATCTGAATCACAATAATAGGATGATTACTGTTAACATGATAAAAAAACACTTACAATGGGCTAAGTCCTGTGCTTTTATATTAAAACATGGAATCTTCACAATGACCCCTGGGGACTGGGTATAATGACTCCCATTTTACAGGTAGAGTAACCAAGGTTCTGAACGAGGAAGGAAGCCAGAACTGCCCTCTCTGGACCTGACTTTGAATCACTGTGTGACACCACACATTTCAAGCTCCTTTGATTTCCCCTTTGAAAGAAATCAACCTGCTAATCTTTTCTTCTTCTAGGGTGTGTGTTCAAGAATATAAAATGATACCTGGCCCGTTCAAAAAAGAGGAGTTTCTCCTCAGCCTTATCTCACCCACCCAAGCAATGACAGAAAGCCATCTCCAGCCACCAGTTCTCCCTCCACCGCTGGGCCCAAGCCAGAGCACTTACCTTGGGTCTGAAAAGCTCCATGACAGCAATCTTCCCATACATGCCCACCTCTTTGACAGGTCGAAGCCCCTCAGCGGTGACCACATAGATCTCTAATCTTGTGTTTTTAGCAATCAACAGGTTCAAGTCTTCAGCTGAAGTAAAGTGTCCTGAAAGAACAGCCACTAATTTTTGAAGCCAGGGCAGTACTGAAAATATTCCATCACTTCTACATAAGCAACTCCGGAATTCTCATTTACTTCACATAATTCTGCCCCACACCCCACACCATCCCTTGATTCACTTACTCCCTACCAAATCCAGCACCTCAAGGAGTCTCACTTCATACATTGAAGAAGCTACCTTCCCAGGCAGATAAGGAAGCTGGACCCTAGTAAGCAACATGGTGGTCAACTGACAATGACTGAAACCTTTCAAACGGTTCTGTGTTCTCAAGTTTGCTTTTCCTTACCATCTAATTGTAGGATGCTGGAGAAAGTGTTCACCGCCAATCAATTATCTACATTCTGATCAAATCATTACCCCACAGGTCAGGTCAACTGAAGAAAAGCCTGAGTTTTGTACTAAAATACTGTGTGGGCCACATCTCCCAGCAACTTCCCTCCCAGGAAGTCTCCCCAAAAAAACCCAGTTCCACTTCCACGACCTCATCCCCCCAAGCCAGAGTTTTGTTTTGGAATCCTGCTTTGGTTTTTTGTAAACAAACAAGCTTGAAATCTGTATACGCTGCTCAGAGTGTGGGCCAGAGCGTGGGCGCAAGTGAAACCTCCGGGGTCCTGGACATCTGTGTCCTTAACGACCCTAGCACGGGGTCAATAGGGAAACCCGGCGCCGGGTCGGGCCATCCAAACCCTCTTCCAAAGCAGGACCCCGAGAAAACAGTCGCAGGCCACGAGCACTCGCCTCTGTCCTGGGGTGGGGGCACTTCTCACGTCCTTCCCACCTCCTGAGCCCCAGCGGGCTCTTCCGCACGGAACCCCTAACCCAAAAGTCGCCTCCGCCCCAGCCCCTGCCCTGATCACAAGAGGCCAACATCGAGGCCCAAGCAAACCACCAACCAGCGCGCACTTCGCTCTCGGCCCCCCAGGACCCGTCCCTGTCCTCGAGGCCAAGTGACCTCCCAGGACGAACGGGGACCCTCCGGCGCAGCTTCTACTCCCCAAAGGCAGCGTCCAGATAGCTTCCTGGAAGTCGCGGGCCGGGAGGTCCCGCGGCCGCCGGCGCCTTTCACTGCCGGCCCGGTCCCGCCCGGCTGCCCCGGCGGCCGCGGGCCTCCCTAGGCCTCGCTTCCCTCCAGCTCCCCCCCTCGCCGGGGTCTCCAGCCCGGGCAGCCTCACCGGTCACGCAGCCGTTCACCGCGGTGGGCTTCTGTGCCGTTACCACGTAGTTGTACGACATGTCGAGGCCTGAGATGTCCCGTCGGGACGCGAGAGCAACGATAGAGAGATGGACACGAGCGAAGACACAGGCGGCCCCCACCCGCGCGCAGCCAACTCCACGGCCACTGCCTCCGCCCCAGAGACACGTTGCAGGCCAGAGCGGCCGCGGCGCGGGGCATCACGGGACGGCCTCACCTGGCCTCTTGGAGGACTCACGGCGCCGGAGGCAGCCAACCAGAGGAGGCCCCGCCCCCCGAAGCCCCGCCCCGCCTCTAACCGCCGGTGCCTGGAGGACCCGGATGCGGTTACTCCGCAGGGGGTCCTTGTGCAGCAGCGGCGGCTGAGCAGGTGGCTGGTGCGGGCTAGAGCGGGCCGGGGAGGTACGAGCCCGCCCCCGCCGCCCCGGCCCTCTCCCCCTGCCATTGCTCCGAGCGCCCTCGGGCCCGTTCCTTCCTCGGGAAGTCGAAGGACTGCGGCGGCCTAAGGAGGGGGGGAGGTGGCCGCGGCTGTGCACCCCCGGGACCGTGGGTCCCTACTTAAGGGAGGACCCCTTCGACCTCCAGTTCCTCCACGCCAGCCTGTGCACACACTTGGACCCGAGGATGATCGATCCTCAGCCTCGCCGGTTTGGGGGGACGGGACACCCGGACACCCGGATGCTTACCCCTCCCTTGCAAGCTGTTGAATCTCAGACTTCCAAGTCTGAAGGGGCATTATGGGTGCCCTATTGTATACATTCTGACCTCAGACACAAAATCAGATTGTGACCAGTGAGGAGTCAGGAAGGCAGCCAGTTCCTGTAACTTACAGGCCACCTATTCAGACAGGTTCCCCCAAAGAATGGGGAGAGAACCTCATGGCTTGGAGCACACACACACACCATCCCTGCCCCCACCCCCACCCCCACAGTGAGGGTGCTGTGGCTGGGGCATCGATCTGGTTTACCTAAGACCCCACCCCCAGGAAGTCAGGCCTGGAATCTTTCCATTGCAGACACACAGAGCACAAGGCCCAAGATGACTGGCACCCTCTAAGCCATGCTGAGCCAGGAGGCTAAACCATGGTTATAACATACACGATTTCCACCCTGGGGCCTCTGCCTGACTCTGGAGGCACTGAATTTTCAGTAGAGAGAACACAGGCTTTGTGGGAAAAGATCAGACATGCATTTCAGTCCTGCCTCTGACTAGCAGGGCCTCACACACGTCACGGGGCTCTGAGTGGGCTTCCAGGGGCTAACTGGGGTCACAGCCTCAGCCGCCTCTCTCCTGGTGGGGTGTCAGTGCCAGCAAGGGGAGGGTGTGAAGATCTTTTAAACATTACTTCATGTGATACGTGTGGGAGGGGTGGAGTTAGTGTGTCAGTAACTCTGCATGGTGGCGATGAATTGGGCACTGCCGCTGGACATGCAGGCCACCCTGCCCCGCATGATCGATTTGGCTTCTGGCAGCCAGAAGCAGCATGACCCTTTCAGTCCCACGCTCTTCTCTATCCCCAGGCCAGTACTAGAGTTTGGACTTGGATCAAAGTTTAGGACAGCTCCCTAATGACTAGGGCCCTGGGAGCGTGACTTCACCAGTAGGCCTGCAGTGCCTTCCGGAGTGCTCATTGCCGCCCACTCCTGCAGGTGCAGCGGCCACCCCACTGCGCCGGACCCAGGTGGCACACGTAGGATCGCCGGCTCCGGCAGCTCAGTGTGAGGGAGTGAACTCAGTTTGCTTCAGAGCGTCCTCACCATGGTGAGTCCCACAGAGACAGGCAAGGGAAGGGGGTGGGGAGCCCTGGGCTCTTAGAGACCTTCACAGAGATGTGCTGCCTTCTGAGGTCCGAGAGGTGAAGAGACAGGATCAGTCTCCTCTCAGGACCTGCTCCCCCCTTCACGCCACTTCCCAGCTGGGCCCAGCCAGCCGGCCGGGCACTATCACCTGAGTTGCTCCCGACTCCGTGTACCGGGGGCCTGGGCCGTGGATTTAAGAGCATGTGAACAGCTAGCACTCAGAGGCAGACACTGTAGCAGTCCCAGAAGGAGCTATGAGAAGGGCCTGGGTTGGGGGCACATCTACACTATGGAGGTCCCAGTGCACTTGGGCTCTACCCCAGGCCCTCTCCAGAACTGACCTGGACCGAAGCAGGCCTTGGACAGTCATGGGTTCAGCTTTCAGCCTGCCTCACAGGCATGTGACCTTTTACAGAGACTTGACCCCTCTGGGCCTCTCCTCCCCTACCTTAATGAGGTAGATAAGGCTTGCCTCCCAGGCAGTGGGGGGGTCAGCAAGTCCTGGGGGCCTCACACAGCACCTAGCCGACTTCCTTCCCTTCCGCCCTCTCACACTGCTGGCAGCTAGGGCTAGCCCTGGCTCCTGAGTCCCACTTTTGTTCTAGCATGAAAATGGTTGCAAACCCCAGGGCAGACTGTCAGGTGGCGAGGGGGCACACTCCTGGAAGCTGGTGGCGCAGGAGGGTGGGCTTGGGATTGAAACCAACTCACAGCTCACACACAAGCCCCAAGCCCATGTCCTTCCAGAGCCAGGTGGAAGCAGCTTTGGAACCACAGACCTGCTGGCTGTGGGACCTCGGGCACCGTGACTGCCAGTTTCCTCACGGCTAATTGCCCCTCCGCCCCTCCGTAGGGCTGCGGGGACGTTGAATAAGATGTGCTCGGCAGCGCTTTGATCCAGCCCGGCTCTCAGTCTCTGCTTGGGACATGGAGCCAATCTTTTTCTGCGCACTCCCTACTGGCCTGGGCTGCGTCCCACAGCAGATGGCTTGGACCTGGCCCCTGCCAGATCCAGGAAGGTCCATTTTTGCACGGGGAAGCCTGGTGCTGGCAAGCCAGGAGCACACTGGGCAGAGTGGCCTTGCCAGGTCTGGCTCAGCGGCAGCCCGTCCCCAGGCCACCAGGTGGCGCTGGGAGCCCGGCCCTCTGCGACCCTATTGGTCCGGCCCCCACCCCCACCCCACCCCCCTTTCCTGGTCTTGGGGACTCCAAGGGCCCCAGCTGCACCTGTAGAGTCTGCTCCAGCTTTTCAGCACCTGTTTGAGGAAGGGACAAGTTCCCTTTTTTGGATGTTTTTCTGCTTATTGAGCACCCGTTTTGCAGAGGAAGACCAAAGCTCAAGGGAGGTGACTCCTGAGTCCTCAGGCTGAGAGGCAAAGTGGGATTTGAGCCCAAGCGCCCAGGACTGCAAGTCCCAAGCCCTAACCTCTCAGCCCGACACTGCTCGCTGCTGCCCGCACCCTGGCTCGGCTCCACTGGACAGCGCTGCCTGCCCGTGATCCCCGAGGCCAGGCCCTCTCTGAGCTTGGGAGGAACTGCCCACCTCTCCCTGGGGGTCACTCGTTGCTCAGGTCCTTCGAACTTGCTTCTGGCCTGCCCACCAGACTTTCACACCCCCACACCTGAGCTGACACGCTCCGTCGGCCCGGAAGAGCCTCCCTTTTTCTTCCCACTGCCCCTCACACCCTTTTGCCAACCTAACTGGCGCGTACCCTTCGCAGCGAGGCCAGGGCTTGCTAAGGAGGCTGCGTGCCCGCCTGTGCTGCCGCGGCACGGGTGACAGTGCTCTCTGAGCCCGCAGGGGAGCTATGCGGCGTTGCGCAGCTGCACACACAGAGCCCGGTCCTGCCCGGTCGCTGAGAGGCCACCAGAGCAGGGGCCTGTCACGGCCCTTGCCCTGCAAGGAGGCTTGGCCTGGGTTTCTTAGGAAAGGAGACGGCTGTCAGATTGCAACTTTAGTAGATGTTTTTATACTCAGGCTACCCGCTCTGGCATTTTCTTTGTATTACAGTCATTTTTCAGGATCAGTTTAAGCCACGGCCCCATACACTCCATACATTTAGGTCAGAAATTAAGAACTCACAAAAACACCCCCCTGAGGAAAGGCCGTGTCCCCGGGGGCAGGGGACGAGGGCCTCAGCTCGGCCACCACACCCGGAACCTCCTCCCTGCCCCCCACAGACCTCCAAGAAGCTGGTGAACTCGGTGGCGGGCTGTGCGGACGACGCGCTCGCTGGCCTGGTGGCCTGCAACCCCAACGTGCAGCTCCTGCAGGGCCACCGCGTGGCACTCCGCTCCGACCTGGACAGCCTCCGGGGCCGGGTGGCGCTGCTGTCGGGTGGGGGCTCCGGCCACGAGCCCGCCCACGCTGGTGAGAGCCCCGGGCTAGCGGTGGGGCGGCGGGGCGCTGGGCAGAGCGGGCAGGGCCCCGAGAGCTGGCAGCTGCAGGGGCAGCGCACAGCCCGGAGTGGGACCCTGGGGCCAGTCACGGCCTCTCCCTGGGCCTCGGTCTCTCCATCTTATGCAAGTTCGCGGTTGGACAAATGACCGCTGAGAGCTGGTGGGTTCGTGAATGCCTGGATGACGTCTCTCTGAGAAGGGCGCCTGACTCTTCCAGCCCACAGCCCGCTCCTCTTCCCAGTCCCCTCCTGTATTCTGACTTGCACTGTGGACAGTTCTGGATTGTTTCCTGAGCATGCCTGGCACTGGAAGCGCAGGGGTGCGGGGCGCAGGCTTCTTGACCCTTGTCCCTCCCCCTCTCCCTTTCCAGAGTCTCACATCTGCACAGCAGATGCCGGCGAGCACCTGCCGTGCACCTGGGCTGTTCTGGGCACTAGGGACCCCGTAGGAAGCCGGACACACAAGGAGCAGCCCCATGGGGTGTCCGTTCTCCTTTGGGAGACACTAACCGAGTAAACGCACGAGTGGGAAATCATTCCAGAGCGAGCTAAGGCGGCGTGAAGGGAGCCGGGACAGCGAGTCGCAGGACCCTCGGGGCTGGGTGGCCGCCTCCGGTTGGGAGCTCAGGGGCCTCTCCAGGCGGCGACTCCTGCGTGAAGACCTGCGGAGAGCCATCGTGAGGCCCCCAGAGGTGCCCACCAGCCTTTTCCCCCACCCGCCCGCCTCTCTCCAGGTTTCATAGGGAAGGGGATGCTGACAGGGGTCATCGCCGGCGCCGTGTTCGCCTCCCCGGCAGTGGGCAGCATCCTGGCGGCCATCAGGGCCGTGGCCCAGGCGGGCACAGGTAAGTGTGGCCTGCAGGAGAGGTGGCTGCGGAGAGGACAGGCCCGAGGGTGGCCAGGGCAACCTGATGGGCCCCTGCTGGCTGCTCCTGCAGCGGGAACCCTCCTCATCGTGAAAAACTACACCGGGGACCGCCTCAACTTCGGCATCGCCCTGGAGCGGGCCCGGGCTGAGGGCATCCCTGTGGAGATGGCGGTCATCGGGGACGACAGCGCCTTCACGGTCCTGAAGAAGGCGGGCAGGCGGGGGCTCTGCGGCACGGTCCTCATCCACAAGGTGAGGCTCCCTCTGGGCCCTGCTGGACGCCTCTCTCCAGACAGCATGTGGCCCCCCGGAAGGCCGCCTTCGGCTGGGGCCCCTGACCAGGAAGGCCCCACCCTCGCCACTGCCTAAGCCCAGAGTGCAGACTCTGTCCAGATCCTGCCGTCCCCTCCCCTGGTGGCTGGACCCCCAGATGCCTCCCACACAGCCTCCTGGAGCCCTGTCCTGGCCAGCCTTGACCCGGCCTCGCTTGCTGTGCCCGCTGGTTGCGGGCCCTCGCTGGGCTGGCTCCCCGGGCTCTCCGCCGCCTAAGTGCCCTCCCAGTCTCCTCCCCATCCTGCCCCGGGGGAGGGGCGCATGCCTGCCTGTGGGTGTGCGGGAGACGCGCCCTTCAAATGTGTGTGACCAGGGTGTTCATGGCCGAGTCTGCCAGGGTCTCTGGAGTTGACCCAGGCTTCTGGGCTTGGGCCCCCCTCCCCAGCATTCCAGGGTCATCTCCCCTTATCCCTGCTCTTCTCTTGTGCTCCACGACCACATCTGTGGCTTTGCTGAGGCCTTGAAAATCCTTCCCTGGCCAGGCACCCTGCAGGAGGTTTCCTTCCTCCTCTCCCTGGCGGGGAGCCCCTTCTCAGTAACCCATAACATCCCATTGTGAGTTCTGTCCTTGAACTTGTCGCCCTGCGTTCCATGTCCAGCCTGTATGCCTGCCTCCCCACCCCTCCCCAGACTCGAGAGGTCCTTCAGGGTAGCCGCTGCGGCCTCGTCACCTTCCTGCCTCTTAGCCCACTCCAAATGTTCTGCAAAAAGTGTTGGGGTGGGGAGGTGGGGAAGTGAGCCAGTGTATATGCCCCAGCGAAAGAAGTCTAGACTAGGCATCGGGAAGTGCCACCAGCTATGTGCTGTGTGACACCAGACAAGTCACTACCCCTTTCTGAGCCTAACTTCTGGCTCAGGAGATTGGGGAGACCGGCGAGGTCTGCTGTGCCATGTGGGTCAGCTCCCTGGCCGGGATGCGAACTCGTGCCGTAGTGGCTGCAGACAGCTTCTGGTGCTCTGCTTTGACCCGTTGTGCCACCAGGGAGGGCCCTGACACAGACTTAGAGACCGGGCTTCTCGCAGCTTCCTAGCAGGTGCATTGTGAATGTGGGGGGGGGGTCGCTCTTCTGCCCTAAGTGTGGCAATGTGGGAGCACCAAGATTGCCCTGCCCAACTGGAAACCCAACCCAGCCTGTCTTCTATGTCCAGAAGTGACCCCTGCCATCCTGGGGGCTCTTCTCTGTGTGGGTGCAGGTGGCTGGCGCCCTGGCTGAGGCAGGCGTGGGGCTGCAGGAGATCACGGAGCGGGTGAGCGCAGTCGCCAAGAACATGGGTGAGTGCGTCCAGTCTCCCTGGGGCTGGGCACGGGTGGCCGCGTTCCCTCACCCTGAGAGAAGGGTCTGGCAGCCTTCTCATGGAGCGGCTGCCGCAGGCCGGTGTCCAAGGCTGCTGCCCAGCAGTGCAAGAGCAGAGCGGTCACCTGCCCCGTTCTCCAGGCACCCTGGGAGTGAGCTTGTCCTCCTGCAGCGTCCCTGGCTCCACACCCACCTTCCAGCTCTCTGCCGATGACGTGGAGCTGGGCCTCGGTAAGCAGTGTCCGTCACACCCGCTTCCCGGGCCCGGCCCACCTCTTTGCCCTGGGAGCCTCTGCCTGTGCCCTCTGCTCACCTGGGACTGTCGCTAGGTGGTCCTTGTATTTTCTTTCAAAGATGTATTTATTTACTCATACGGAACTGGGGTGCAGATCAGACGTGCAGGGGTGGTGAGAGGATTCACCAGAGACAGAGTGGGGAGCAGAACAGGCAGACTGAGAAGGGCGCTGTTGAGGGGAGCAGCGGGCAGCTGTTGAGGGGAGCAGCGGGCAAGACAGCAGAGGTCTCCTGCACCGTGGGGGTCACCCTGGGGCCGGGGTGCTGCAGTGGCCGTGGCAGCTTCGCAGCGCAGCACTTCAACCTGTTGCACCGCCAGGGGGCCCAGTGCTAGTATTTCCAAGTCCCAAGCTGCTCCTGGCCCTACCTGCCTGGCTGCGGCCCTCTCCTCACCCACCTGCCTTTGCTCCTCCTGCCAGTGGACCACCCAGCCGCAAGCTTCCCTCTCCCACAGGCCCACGCCTATGCCTCGTGCTGTGGCTGCCTCCTCAAGGCTGCTTAGCTAGTGAAGGGTTAAGTAACCTTCCTGAGCTAGTTGAAGGTTAAGCAAGCAGGAGGGTTGGAGGGCGGAGAAGGCATTTCCACTAGTCCACACTTGCTGCGCTGCTCCCTAGCGCGCACACCTCGCTCTCCCAAGCACTTAGCACATCCTGATGGAAGCGCCTGAGCAGCTCTCAGGTCCCGAGTGGGTCTCTCCACAGGCATCCACGGGGAAGCTGGCGTGCGCCGGATTAAGGTAGGTGGACTCCGGGGCCAGCTGCTCTGACGCTGGGGCCCCAGGCGCAGCTGAGACCTGGCCCCCTCCGGCAGATGGCCACGGCTGACGAGATCGTGACGCTCATGCTGGACCACATGACCAGCCCCTCCAACGTGTCCCGCGTGCCCGTGCAGTCTGGTAAAGAGCTGTGACCTCTCCAGCCTGCCACTCCTCCACCCCCCTACCCTCTACCCCACCCCCACCCCCTTGCCGGCCAGGCACCACCAGGGGGCTGTGTCTGCACACAGGCTCCTCCGTGGTGCTGGTGGTCAACAACCTGGGGGGCCTGTCGTTCCTGGAACTGGGCATCATCGCCGACGCTGCCATCCGCACCCTCGGTGAGCCCCAGCCCGCGGGCGCCTTCCACCCAGTCCCTGGAGGCTGGCCTTGGGGACCGCAGCGCCGGCCTCTGGGTCACACTCCCTCCTTCCCTTGTCCATAACGGGGTAAAACCAACAGCGCAGCCTTGAAGGGGCGCTGTGAGGTCAGAGGCTCACTGTGCCCCACACCGGGCACGGTGCCTGGCGGCCATAGGAACGTGGTAAGTGGGTCTGGGCTTGCTCCGCTGCCTGGTAGGAGGGACCCCCAGGGAACATGGATGTTTGTGGTGACTTAGAGTAATGCTTAGCGGAAACCTGGCATCTCCCTAACCAATCTCAGGGCCCCAACCTCCACAGTCCCCATTTCCCCCGACTTTCTCCCTACTCTCGGGGGGCAGTGCCCTACCTCACGGCTTCCACGCTCCGGATTGCAGAGGGCCGCAGGGTGAAGATTGCGCGTGCCCTGGTGGGCACCTTCATGTCAGCCCTGGAGATGCCTGGCGTTTCTCTCACCCTTCTGCTGGTGGATGAACCCCTCCTGAAACTGTTAGGTGAGGCCTGGAGTCGCCGGGGACTTGGAGAGACCCCAAGGAGCGGACCACGACGGTCAGGCCCTCGCCGGGCTCTCCAGCCTCCCCAGCTCTCACGGGGGGACCGGGGTGGGTGCAGGGCCCTTCCCGCTGCCCTTTCCACAGCGGGCATTTGCTTGCCAAAGTGGAGGCAGCCGGGCCGCCAGCTGGGGAGTCCAGCCCAGCTGCTCCCCGGACAGCCCACCCATGCCTAAGAGGGCCATCTGTGTGTCCAGATGCTAAAACCAACGCTGCAGCCTGGCCTAAAGTGGCCAGGGTCTCTGTGACCGGGCGGCAGCGGAGCCGGCCAGCCCCCGCTGAGCCCCCGGAGGCCCCGGACTCCAGCGCCACAGGAGGTACTCAGTCCAGTTGTTGGGCAGGACGGGCCTGGCTTTGGCCTGAGCCCCGAAAGGTGTTGGGGGTGCGTGGGGTCTTTAGGAACCCACAAGGGTCAAATGTCATGAGAAGGGACTGGGGGCCGCCTCCACTGTCTGCCAGGCTCAGCCTCAAAGTGCATGGTGCCCGTGCTGGAGCGGGTGTGCAGCACCCTCCTCGGCCTGGAGGAGCAGCTCAACGCCCTGGACCGCGCTGCGGGCGATGGGGACTGTGGCACCACCCACAGCCGTGCCGCCAGAGGTTGGTGGCGGGACCTCTGCAGCTCTGGGGAGGGTGTGTGTGGCACCTCGGTTCTGAGGTCTGGGCAGTTCTTTTTACTTATGCACACAGAACTGGGGTACAGGCCAGAGGTGCAGGGGGATGAGAGGATTCATCAGAGACAGAGTTGGGAGCAAAACAGGCAGATCCACTGTTGAGGGGAGCAGCGGGCAGGACAGGAGAGGTCTGCTGCGCCCTGTGGGTCACTCCCTGGCTGGGAATTGAACTCGTGCTGCAGTATAGCTTCACAGTGCTGTGCTTTAACCTGTTGTGCCACCAGGGAGGGCCCCAACCTGGGCATTTCATGAAGCAGTTTCCAGGCCTTCCAGAACATGATGCGAAGTGGCCAGTGAGCACCTTCACAAAGCCCAGCACCCCTTTGCCTGTTTTCATGAATAAAAGGCTCTACAAATGTAACTAGCTAGCTCTACAAGTGCAGAAGGTTATCACTTTAGAATAAAACACAACAACTTGACCCTCCCTGGTGGCACAGCGGGTTAAAGCCCAGCACTGCATGCGAGCCACAGCTGCTTCAGTGCGAGTTCAATCCCGGGCCCCGGAGGTGACCCACATGGCGCGGCAGACCTCTCCTGTCTCCCTGCTGCTCCCCTCAGCAGTGTACTTCATCCATCTGCCTGTCTGCTCCCCACTCTGTCTCCCATGAATCTTCTCGCTGGCCTGTACCCCAGTTCTATATGAATAAATACATACATCTATAAAAAAAAATCTAAAAAACAGTAACACACACAATTCAGTGCCTGCAGATTCCAGGGAAATTCCCTCCAGGGCCCTGATTTTTCTCAGCTGACCTAGAGCAATGAAAAGCTCTCAACCAGACAGCCCCGTTCAAAAACATGTTATTTCCTGCCTTCCAGAGCTGGGCACGGCTCTGGACCCTGGATATAGCAGTGAGCAAAGTCAGCAAACACCACTGCCCTCTTGGCGTATGTTCTTCTGGGAAGACAGACAGTAAGCAGGAAGGGTCCATAAACGCAGATGACAGAGAACACAGGGAGAGGAAAAGGGAAATGTGACGAGTGTCACGCGGCCTTACCTGGGGGATCGGCTGAGGTCGCTGTGAGCCAGGGGCCCGCGTCGCCCCTGACTGCACGCTGGGTGGAAAGGGCGCCCCGGGAACCCCTCAGCCTCGTCCAGCACCGTTTCTGTTCTTGGCAGTGAGGCTGGGCACTTGGTTGGGGTCCAAGCAGATAGAGCTGGGGTCTCTGAGCCCCTCTGTCTCGCTCTGCCTGCAGCGATCCAGGGATGGCTGAAGGCAGGTCCGCTCCCTCCCAGTCCTGCCCAGCTCCTCTCCAAACTGTCTGTCCTGCTACTGGAGAAGATGGGGGGTTCTTCTGGGGCAGTGAGTACAGCAGCCCCCAGGGCGGGGTGGGCTGGCCTGGAGGCATCCCGCTGGGCTGAGGCCTCCAGCAGCCACACGCTCAGCTCAGCACTCGGGTCTCCCCAGCTCTACGGCCTGTTCCTGACAGCAGCAGCCCAGAGCCTCAAAGCCAAGACTGACCTCCCAGCCTGGTCTGCTGCCATGGACGCTGGCCTGGAAGCCATGCAGAAGTGAGCCAGGGCCCCAAGCCTTAGACCAGGGGTGGGCAGGGTCCCCTTCGGTGAGTCTCATTTCTGCTTTCCCTGCCAGGTACGGACAGGCTGCCCCGGGGGACAGGACAATGGTATGCCTGGGCCCACCCTTCCCCTCTCAGTGCAGAGCCCTGGAGGCCACCCCAACTGGCAGGGCCTGCACTCACTGCTCCCCCCACCTTGTCCAGCTGGATTCTCTATGGGCTGCAGGACAGGAGCTCCAAGCCTGGAAGAGTCCAGGGGCTGACCTGTTCCGCACCCTGACCAAAGCAGTCAAGGTGAGCGAGTGGGCCCAGCCCCGGGGGGTCTCCCCTCCCTCTGCCCCAGCAGGTTAGTCTCCTGCCGTACCTGCTTCCAACCCTGAAAGTGGAGCTCAGCACCTGTGTCAGAGCTGCGCTGAGCTGAAAGGTGTCCCGTGTGTGGGACACCAGTAAGCAGTGGCCCTTGCCTGCTCCCTGCCCTGGAGACGGTACACAGGCCGCTGCAGGGCCGGGCCCCCAGGCTCCATGTGGGAGCATGTGGGGCGCTCTTGCTTGAACCTGCTCCCACACCCCAGAGTGCAGAAGCTGCCGCCCAGGCCACCAAGAACATGGAGGCGGGAGCCGGAAGGGCCAGTTACATCAGCTCTGCGCGGCTGGACCAACCAGACCCTGGGGCCGTGGCAGCTGCAGCCATCCTCAGAGCCGTCCTGGAGGCCCTGCAGAGCCAGGGGGAGTGAGGGCCTCCAGCCTGGGTGCACCTCCGTGCTGTGCAGAGGGGCACGGTCACCGCCTGTCTCCCAGCGGTCACCTTCCCTGGTGGCTCGTGCCCAGGGCCGGTCCTCTGAGTTCAGCAGGAACTCTCCGGAGCTCCTGCCAGGCCCTCCCTGGGCCAGGCGCCTCTTAGGCACAGCCCGTCTGGCCCGTTCCTTGTCAGGGACAGTGGAGTCCCCGGGGCTCCCTGCCCGGCTCTGGGCTGCAGCCATTAGGCATTTCCCCGGGGCGGCGCCGCCTTGAACCTGCCCTGCGTGTTTGGCTTTAAGACTCCCTAGAAAGACCTTCAGCGCCAGTGTGGAAAGCGGCTAATAAATCACATCGCAGCAACAGAGATACGCGTCCTCTGAAATCCTTTCTAATACGTGGACGGGGGGGGGGGCAGGGACCCCAGTTCCCAACTGAAGTGGTCCTACCGGTCTCGTAGCCCCTGAGACCCAGAGGCAGGGTCTGGGCAGCGGGCCGGGCTCCCCAGGGTCCCGGCCACCCACCGACTCCCAGCCTCCATCCCGTACACACTGATGGGTGCGCTTCTCTCAGCAGGAGTCAGACAGGACGCTGGAGACAGCTGTGTTCTCAGGCCCAGTGGTAGCGCAGAACCGGCACCCCAGCACCCCGTCTTTCCCAGACCCTGACCAAGCTCTGGCTGGTCGTGCAGAGACCAGGGGCAGCGAGGGGCTGTGCACGTCAGCCTGGGCCGTGGCTCAGGGCCCTGAGGGGCCTCGACACAACTGACCTGGTCTGCCTGAAACCAGCTGCAGGCTTGGGCCTCTCGTTGGGCCTCCTGGAATCTGTAGGCTAAGACTGCACTCCTTGGGGGTGGGGAGGGCCCCGGCAAATCCGAGGCACAGTCCGGGTGTGTGCTGCCTCAGAGCGAGCGTCTGCAGCGGCTCTGGCCCGTCATCACCAGGGGCAGCCACCCTGGCCACCCTGGGAAGGGGCCTCCTCCTGCCCAGGCTTCTGCAGGCTCCCTCCAGTCCCGGGGAGGCTCCCCGCCCGCCAGTCACACCTTGGTCTCCAGCCAGCGGGGAAGGACCTGGCGCCAGACACCGCCCTGTGGATCCAACTCGGCCACTTCCCAGTCGGGTCCTTAGGCAGGTCACTCACCCTTTTTGTGTCTTGTTTTCCGTATTACTAACTAGGGAGCACCTCCTTCCTCATAAGATAAACAGATGCACAAAAGCCATCGCCTGTCAAGGACAGCACTCAGCACGGGTCATGCAACCCATGAGGCTGTCACGGGGCTCTGGTTTGAGCTGCCCGAGGACTTTACAAAATGCCCCACAACTCGGCGAGCCACACTGACATTTAGCAGAAAGGGCCTTGAGTCTTAAAATCACGTTTAATGCAAATCGAGCTTCATGAGCAAGTGAGCTGCCCATCCACATGGGAAGGGGGAAGTGGCCACGTGACCAAGGTAATCGGTCATGCCGATGGCTCAGCGCCCTGCACCCAGCCGCAGCTTCCAGCAGGGTCCTCCTAACAACGCTGGCCACGCGGGCTTGGGCTGCGTCAGCCTCGGGCTACGGCACCCAGGCTCCGGCCCCGGGCTCGCCACTCGGGCTCTGCGGCCGTGTGGAGCCCGGCTCTGCGGGCTCTAGGAGAGCTAGGGAAGCACAGCCCCACCCGGGGGGAGCAGCGGGACTCCGCCTGCCCGTTTCTCCGCGGGAGGCGAGCCACCGGGTCGGGCAAGCATGGCGGCAGGCGAGGCACCGAGCTGCCCGGCAGGGAACACCTCCACGGGTGATGGCTCCTTGGGCTCTGCTGGGCAAAACACCAACCGAGCTGGCGAGGCCCTGCCAGGACAGCAAGGTGGACACTGCCCAGGCAGGCGGGAGGGGACGGCTGCCCTGCTGCTCAGTCCATCGGGACAGCTGGGGCCGGGCGGTCCCGCGTGGGACAGCAGGTTGCCAGGGTTGGCAGGGCTGCGAGGACGGGAAGGCCAGGCCCAGGCCCCAGCTGTCGCAGCGGCTAAAAGAGGTAGAGCCACTCCCTACCCCCCATTCCACTGCTGAGTACCCCTTCTGCTCAGCTACGGCCAGGCTGCAGGAACCTAACAGGCCAGCCTGCTCCTGCGGGCCCGGGGGCAGGAGGCCTAAATGGAAGCCACACCTGCAGGCCAAACCCTGGCCGTTCACACAGCCACAACTGTGCCCTGGCTCACCAGACTCAGCCAGACCCCCAGGGGCCTCGGGGAGTCAGCTTGGTTTCTTCAGACGGCCTGAGCGGCCAGGGCAAAGAGGTCCTGGTGGACGTGCAGAATGGGAGAGGCTGATGCCAAGAAAAAGGGGTGCAGAGGCCAAAGCTACAGAGAAAAGCAGGTGGCAGCAGCAAGCTGGGACAGAGAGCGGCCCAGCAGGGCGAGGCAAGGAGAGGAGCCGTGTGGGTCCAGACCCACGTCGATGGAGCCCCTGGCAGAGCGGAGCTTCTGGGGGCGTCCGGCTGCTCCTGGCGCCCTTTCCTGCTTCAGTCCCCATCATGCAGCAGGGGCTGGAAAGACAGGTAGGAGCACAGGGGTTAATGCTCCCGGACTACAGAAGCCACGCCAGGCCCAAAGTGTTCAGGCGGACCCAGCCTGCAGGGTGGTCCCCACGCAGCCACCACATCACTTAGGGGAGCCCCAAGGTCCCTCAGCCTGATACGTAGACCACCTACCACCTGCCCGAGTAGCTAAGAACAAGCAAGACCTGCCCCAAGCGCTCAAGCTGTCCCCGACACACACTCGAGCTACCCCCAGACCTGCCCCATCCTGGCAGAGCCGCATCTACGAACCCCCTCATCACGTGCAAGCCCTTTTGGGGGAAGATCAGGCTGCACCTCACCTCATGAAAGGACAGGAATTGGGGGAGAGTAACGCACCCGTCCCCACCACCCTCTCCCAGTGACAGGCCCCCAGACCCTGAGCCCGAGCTCAGCATTGGCCTCGACGGCGGAGGTGCCCGTGTGAGCCTAGCGCCCCAGGCCAACCTCACTCACCGCAAGCTCTGGGCTCCCCACCATGCTGCTGGCTTGACGCTCCAGGCCAGGCCTTCTCCCGATCTGCTGATGCCCACCCTCCCCAGAAGCCAGGAGCCCTACCTGTCTGTCCGTCAGGATCCCAGGCTCCGGGCGCTTCCAAGAGGAAGCCAGGAGGATATAGAGCACCAGCAGCCCGAAGATCACCACCAGCATCCCAATGCTGTTGGCGAACACAGCCTCGCTGGGCAGGCTGGAGTACGGCTGGGTGGCATTTTTCCTGAGTGACAAACAACACGGGCCCTTGAGAGACGTTCCCAGCTGTCCTTGCCCAGAGGGTCACGCTGCCGCCAAGACCGGGCGAGCTGCCTCCCCAGGGCCACCTGTGACTTGGGAGGTGGACGCACTCCTGAGTCCCTGCCGCCACAAATATCTGCAGGGTGCTTTCGACCTAGGAGGCCGCTGCGGCTCAGAGGGGAGATGACCTTGATGACCTTGGCCGGGGCTGCGGGGGTCAGGAAGTGGCACAGTCAAATCACGACACCACACTGGCTGGAAACAGTGCGGGCTGGGCAGGTGAGCCGGCTGGGACTGGCGAGCGCCTGCAGTTGGCTGCCAGGGAGCGTGCCTGAGGCCCTGGGGTGGCTTCTCCCATGCAGGAGGTGCCAAATCAGCTGGTGCGGGGTGACTGCCCACGGTTTCCCAGCCAGACCAACCCTACCACCTCCCGGAGCGGAAACCAGCCTGCTGCAAGGTCCCTGCCCCTGGCTGGGCCTGGATCACAAGTGCCTCTCTTGAAGACCCTCTCCTCTCCCCCGAAGAACTGGGGGCTCCATCCCACTCACAGGCTGAAGAAAAGCTTCTCATTAATGCCGGAAATGACGGACGCAATGGCCAGAGAGAGGACAGACGCTCCAAAGAATACGTGGACGGGCTTCAGGACGCAGCGTAACCACGTGGGCGCCCAAGGCAGCAGGAAGACAGCAAAGCCCAGGAGCCACTGTGGACACAGGAGGGGGCAGTGCTGGGTGGTGGCTCGGCTAGGGCTGCCCCCAGGCACCGCCCTGCCGGCCCACAGCGCTAGCCCGCCTCGCACAAACGGGTCTTCTCGTGCAGGGCAGGGCCGCAAGCCCACTCTCCCACACACCCGCCTCCAGATGCCTCTGCTTCCCTCCAGGCAGCCTCACCCTGACCATGGTGCAGAGCTGACGTCAGCCTGGGGACACCACGCTCTAAGGGCATCTGACTCATGCGAGTGGGAATGGGCTGTGTGGTGGGGTGTGTGGGAGCCCTTGAAGCTGGTGTGACGGGACGGGTCACGTCCTGTGGGGCTGGCTGGCCTCAGGAGCGGAGCTGAGGGAGTGTTAGGGCTGAGGCCGCGAAGCCCCAGAGGCTAAGGAAGCCTCCCGCCAGGGGACCCAAAGGAGGTCGCAGACCCACCTGGCAGGCAAAGAGGAAGACAGTGGTGATGCCCAGCCAGCTGTGCAGGGAATAGAGGTTGGCGATGTTTCCATGCTGGTGAAACTGAAAGACGGCGAACAGCCCCAGCACGGTCAGGGTGAAGGCCGCCAGGTGCAGGGCCGCGTGGAGGAGTTTCCAGGGCAGCTTGGGCCCCACCCACGACTGGGGCAGGCGGTACACCAGCGAGGCTGCAGGGAGACGTAGCTGGGCTTGGCCTCCTCCCCTGCGCTCACCCCCAGCCAGGGAACCCCCTGCCGCGGCCGCTCAGCACCCAGAGTGGCGGGGGAGCTGCTGGGCCCTGGTGGCACCTCAGCCACCTTCTAACCCAGGCGCTCTGGGCTGCTGGCCAGCCACACTGAGCGGGGAGAGAGGGCGGCTTCCCGGGGCTCCGACCTGGAGGGAGAAAGGCCACAGGTGCAGCTTTGCAGTCTTAAGGGCAACGCCAGGTTCTTTCTTCCAGCTAAGTGAGCTCTCACAGCTCGGCCGTTAGGACACAGGCCTGAAGGGCAGACAGCCGAGGGCCGAATCCCAGCTCTGCCTCTCAGCCGCGGGCCTCCCCTCACCCAGTCTCCTCATCTGAAAATGGGGCTTACAATAGAGCCCGCGGCATCAGCTGCTTAAAAACGAGAAAGGCGCCTCAGGGCTCCAGGCACACAGGGCAAGTGCCACTGTCAGTGCCATCCCCGTTCCTGCCCGCAGCCCGGGAAGACCAGCCCAGCTGGGCCCAAGGCTCTGGGCGACACAGGTCCGAGAGGTGGAAGCAGGACCCCACGGAGGACCTGACTGTGCTGCGGAGGCGCCAACCTCCTGACCGGGGCAGCGGCTGGCAAACGCCAGGTCAGGGGTCAAGACGTGTCCACACATGGCAGACACAGCTGGCAGGGTTGGTGAAGCCTGAAATACTACTCGCTGGACATTTATAGGAACATTTGCCGGTGCCTGCGCTACTCGTGAGGCTGCCATTCTCCGATTCCCCCACTTCCACTACTTCCTCCAAATGCTACCAGCACCCACAGACAGACCCCCTCCGGGCGCACACCCCACCCCCACCCCTGCTCCCTCTCCCTCCCATAGCTTGGAGTCTAGTAGTGACAGTGCTGGAGAGGGAGAGCGCTGGTGCGCTCAGGCGCCTGCCAGGCTCACATGGTACTCACCAGCTCCATACAGCACCACCATGCCAGCAACCATGAGCACCGGGTGCCAGTTGAACATGAACACGGTGCCATCCCAGGCAAAGCCACCACGCCAGTACCGCATCCAATAGGCAGTGAAGAGGATGCACAAGGAGCCCAGAGACCCCAGTGCCAGGCAGGACAGGTAAAACCATCCCACAGCCATTCTGATCAAGCACTCCTAGAAGAAGTAGAAATCACATGTGCCTGCCGGCTGGGTGAGCCCTGCACACTAGCTGGAGACCTAACACTGACCTTGCTCTTGGCCCCTGAGAGGAATCGATGCTTTTTGCTTCAGTTCCCCTGCCACAGCCTGGGTCACCACCCCGAGAAGCCTTAGGTGCTGGGGGATCCTGCTCTCTGGTTATGAGCTGTGGGTGAGGCTCCGCCCCAGCACAGGGCAGAGGGGAGCTCCAGCTCAAGCCTGCAGCAGGGGCAGAGAGGGGCGTCCTCTACCAGGTGCCAAGGCCCTGGGCCTACAGCCCTGGGTTAGTCTCCCTTCATGGGACTAGAAGCTGAGGAATCACCGCTACCATTTTCTCCCCCTTAGAGAGATGGACTCACAATCTAGGCCCAGATGCTCAGTTCTAAAAAAGAGAAAGTCATAATCCCAAGGGCAGCCAAGATGGCATCTCTGGGCTCCCACTTCTAGAGAAATGGGGAATTCTGTGGGGCTGATGGTCCTGCTAGGAACTAAGACCAGAGTGCCCCACACACCTTGCATTATGCAACACCAGCTCTCCCCAGATCTGAGACTTCTGCTTTCTCTTCCTCTGGGGAAAGTCCAGAGGATAAAAGAGGAAGTAAGAACTCATGGTCTAGAAAGCAAGAGTTTATTTTGAGACTTGATCAACTCGCACCTGATCAACTCGGAGACCAACTCCAGTTTCAGGCAGGGCTAATGAACACCCACCAGCAAGTGGGTGGAGGGTGGCAGGCAAGTGCCGGAGCCCTAGGGCTGCCCTGGTCCTCAGCTAATGGGCAGGCAGTGTGAGCCCCGTTTGAAAGGTAGTAAGTACCCTGTCCCGGGGCTCACCACAAGCATGCGCCCGTGTCTTCCTGCTGTCAGGACCCCTTAATGTGAGCCAGCTAACAGGAGAGGAGGCCCCTAAAACAGCCGCCAAGCTCCAAGCAGATAAAGCACTGAGATCTCACCTTCAGATCTCGCGGCGGCTGACAGAGGGCTGGGCTGGGTTCTGATTTGCACAAACTAAGGTACCTGGAGCATATCACTCAACATGTGCAGGTCTCAGTCTTCTGCTCTGAAAGAAAAGCCTGGCAATTAGAATATAATTTGCTGCAGGGCAGCCAGGAGCACACAGCCTAGAATCTGTACCCCCAGTCTAGGAGCTCCCCTCAACAATCCTGGGAGTCAAGCAAACCACCACCAGGGCCCTCCCTGGTGGCGCCATGGGTTAGGACACAGCACTGCAATCTGGCTGCAGCCACTTCAGTGCAAGTTCGATCTCCGGACCCAGAGGTGATCCGCATGGCACAGCAGACCTCGCCTGTCTTGCCCGCTGCTCCCCTCAGCAGCGTACTTCTCAATCTGCCTGTTCTGCTCCCCACTCTGTCTCTGGTGAATCTTGTCACCGCCCCACCCCTCCTACGTGTGGTCTGTACTCCATGAATGAACCTTAAACAAACAAAAAAAACACCATCCTGAGAGGAAGTCTCAAGTTAGCACCCGCAACTTACAGATGAGGAAAGAGTAAGTCCTTATGCTGTAGGACTGGGAAGTGGGGCGTTTCTGGTCTGTTTGGCTGACCTCTCCTCAACTCAGGTTGCTAGAAGGTCAAATGCGCAAGTGTGCAGAAGGGAGAGGAAAGTGTGAGACTTTTCATGGCTCTGTCACAGCTTTTCATCCTAACTGCTAATAAGCACCCCGAGCTCATGGCTTTCCCCACCCGCTCCCCGCCCCCCTATCTCAGTGGCCCTGAATCCACGCCATGTGGCCACCTAGTCAGAGAAGCTGAAGATGAGGTGATCCATCTGGGCAGTGATCGCTGAGAAAGGAAGTGCTGAAAACTGGGCAAAACAAAGTTTCCAGGAGGCTGGACCGAGAAAGTCATGCCACCAGCTTCCTAGAAGTTTCACCAATGAACTGGGGAACTCAGGGTCTGAGCGGTACCCCCAGTTCCTGAAAGGGTAGGGGAAATTTCTGTTCACCACCTCTTCGGTCACCCCCCCACCCCTTTAGCTTTGTCAGCTCCATTCATTGGGTCTCTACTTTCAGAATTTTTGTTTTCTTTTGTAGAAGGAAAACAAATCTAGGATCCAAAAGGGACTGCACAGCCCCCCCCCCCACCACCACCACCAAAGAGGTCCCGATTGCTGCTCTGGGACAGAACTGGAACAGACAACGGAACGCTTTTCTGACAGAGGGTGGGGTGTGACACAGCTCAAGGTACCCTCAAAGTGCCCTCCCTCTGCCCAGGATAGAGCCAAAGCGGAGAGCAGCGAAGAGTGCGTGTGACTTGCAACCCAATGCTAATGGCCTCTCACTTGTCCTGAGAGAGCAGGTTGTGCTACGTGCCCAAGGTGTGCCCAAGGTGTGCCCACCAGCTTGGTCCCCTAGTCTGCCCTCCCCTAAGTCAGATGTCAGTCCAGTCTTCTTAAAGGGCCCAAATGGCAATACTTCAGGCTGCGCAGCCCTCTGTCACGACTGTCATCACTCTGCAGTTGTGGTACCAGTGTGGTCAGACAAGTGAGCATGGCTGTGTTCCTAAAAAGCTTTATTTATAGACATTGAAATTTCGGTTTCACATCATTTTCACGTGTGCAAAATAACCTTTTCATTTTTTTCAGTCGCTTAAGTCTATCAAAACCAGGCCCTCCTGGTGGCACAACAGGTGAGCACAGCACCATGAAGCTGGCTGCAGCTGCTTCAGCAAGTTCAATCCCCAGCCAGGGAGCTGATGCAGCAGACCTCTCCTGTCTCCCCGCTGCTCCCCTCAGCAGTGTATCTCAGGGGCTCTAACTGTTCTGCTCTCTACTCTGTCTCTGATGAATCCTCTCGCCTCCCAGCACCCCTGGCCTGTACCCCAGCTCTTGCACACATAAAATAATTATTTTTTTTTTTTTAAAAAGTGTCAAAACCATCCAGGCAGGCCAGATTTAGCCTGTGGCTCATCAGTCGAAGCTCCAAACTAAGCGGTCTAATCAGCCCAAGCCTAGGCAGATCAGGCCATGGGGTAGGAAGTGGGTATTTTCCATTCACGGTCCTCTTAGAAAAAAGCTCCACTCCCAAATCTTACAATGATGCGCCTACAATTTAGAAAGCCAGTAAGTGGAGGAGCAGAAAACCCGTCTGCTGCTCCCCTCCCCAAGTGAATGAGGGGGTGTCAGGAATCCTGAGAACCAGACATAGGGCTCAAGTTCCAAACCCTTAACTGACATCTGACAGGCCGGAACCCCAAAAGCTCAAAGGAGGAAAGTGACTTGGTCAAGGTGACAGAGCTGGCAGGAACCCCAGGCTTTCGCCCCGAGCTCCGAGGACGCTAGCTTCCCAGGGTCGCTTCTGTTGGCAAAACTCAGGACCGAGGGGCCCCAAATCCCAGCCGGGCGGTGTGGGGCGAGCAAGGTCCTCCAGAGCGCAGGGCGATTCCAGGCAGCCGGGGTCGTCTCCCGACTCCTCTGCTGGGACCTTGGGTAAAACCAGGGCGATAGGGCTGCGCCTGCTGGCGGCGACCGGGAATAGCTTTGGCGCCTTCGACCACCAGCTGGAGAAGGAACCGTGCTCGTTCCCACAAGAGTAAACTGAAGCCGAGCGAGGGGTCGCGACAGTGCGAAGCGAGGTAGCGCGGAGGCGGCACTCGGCCCAGGCCCCGGTTCTCCCAGTGCGGGCTCTTTCTCACCCCCCCGAGCTGCATCGGGACGCAGCGGGGCTGGGGTCTCCGAGACTCCTGGCCAACGGGCTCCGCGCCGCCGCTCCAGGGGGTCCTGGCAGGTGGCGTCAGTGGCGCCAGCGAGCGGAGGGGCGGGGCCGCCTCGCCACCTTATAGGCCGCCGGCACTTCCGGTAGCGCGCGCAGCCACCTGGGAAATGAAGTCCAGCGCCGCGGCGTCTCCCGCTCCCAGCGCGCCGAGGTTCCCGGCTCCTGTTACTCCCACTCTAGGGTTACAGGAGCCTGGAGCGCCTCACGGGCCTGCCCTGCCCCTCACCCTCTATCCCGTGAAAACGGAAATATTGGGGCCGGCGTTAAGGGCGCGCCAGACGCTGACAGGCCACGCTCAGTGTGGGCGGGGGCCGTGCGCGGCGACGCGGGAGGACCAGGCCCTGGAAAGCGGGTGCCCAAAATGGCGTCCGGGCAGGCGGTGAGTGGGCAAGGGAGGGCCACGGCTGGCGGGAGCGCGGCGCCGGCGGAGCCATCTACTTCCGGAACCTTAAGGCGGTTTCCGGAAACCAGGACGGCGTCCCCATGACAACCGACGTTGGTTCTTTGAGGTGAGAAAGCGGGAGTAGCGGCTAAAGTGACGGGACGGTGGAATTCTTGCTGTTACTGATTTTGGCGTGGGCTTCCTGCGAGGCAGCCTCGAGTGGACGGGGGAGGGCGAGGGACAGCGCGCCGGGACAAAGGGAACGCAGGTCGCGGGGGCCGATCGGGAGACCGCTCTTACCTGGCGGGTGCCCGCAGCCGGAGCGAGCGGAGGCTCCTCGTGGCGGGCGGTGCGGGGCGGCGGGAGCGGGGCCTGGAGCCACTCCCAGATGTGTATCTGGCTTTGCGCCGCTACGCCCCGCGGGAGGCTCGACCTCGGGCGGCGTCCTGGCTTACGGAGCGGGCCGAGTGGCCCGCAGTTGCGAGGATTAAAGGTCGCCACATTCCTCGTGCTGGTGCTGCAGGTGACAGTGTCACTTGGTGAATGAGGTAACTGGGCCCAGAATCAGCGCGTTTATACAGCCAGGTGAGATGGGTAGACCAGGTGGACAGACCTCGTTGGGCCTCTGCAGTGGAGTCTATGCTAAATAGCAGCTGCTTGGAGCTGGCTGCAAGATAAAGTAACATAACACGAAGAGGGTTTGAAAAGTGTGGTAAGTCTCACAGGGGTTAATTTAATCTCTAAATTTTGAAATTTGTGTCTAGATTTCATCTAGCTGTAGGGCCACAGGACACCCCCAAAACAACCTCTTGGTCTTCAAGTACATGCAAATAAGGGCCCAGCTCCTTTCACCTGGTGTGACTGTATACTACTACAACTTTGGTTACAGCTTTTTATGCCTACACCACTTCCCACATCTCTGTCAGCTTTCCCTGCCACCTGCTTACACATCAGCCTGTCAGTTATGTAAGAAGCACTTTGGAGCAGGAGCTAAGATCTGAATCCCAGCTCTGTCAGTCTCACGGGCTGTGTTACATAGGACAAATTATTTGATTTCTCTGGACCTCAGCTGTCCCATCACTAAAATGGGGAGATGTAATAGTACATATCCTGCTTCAAGGGGTTATTGTGCGCTTTAAAGAGCTAATGCTTTAAACAGTTCCTGGCACGTTGTGATATATAACGATTTGCTGCTGCAATTAATAGCAGTAGTGACTAGACAGCCACATTGTAGTACCCCTCAATTTCTGTGTTCAGGACGTCCTAGGCATAGAGAAAGGGTGGAGGGCAGGTGTCTCTAGGGGTGGCTGCTTGGCTTTCTCTGTTGATTTTGTTGACAGATGTGTGCCTGCCCAGTGTTGGGGCTAGTCAGGGTGCTCGGCCTCACAAGTCCTCCCTCCTGGTCCCCATTCCAGTGGAGGGAAACGAAACAATGTGAAATAGTAACCATGGCAGGGTTCCCTTCTTGACTTCCAGAAACTGGTTTTAAATTCTGGTTCTAGAACTGTACCTACTATATAGGTCTTTGGGTAATATTTATTGTATTAATAGCTAACACCCTCCAACCCTCCCCCCCCTTTTTTTTTTGGCCTCAACAGGCCCTTGTCTTAGAGCAATTGAATGAAAAAACTCTGATGCTGAGGAACCAGATGCCTCTTGCTCAGTGCTAGGGAAGCTGGGAGCTGTGGAGTGCGCCCTGGGAGGCCCAGGGGGACAGAAGGAAGATGCTCCAGACCAGCAACTACAGCCTGGTGCTCTCCCTGCAGTTCCTGCTGTTGTCCTATGACCTCTTTGTCAATTCCTTCTCGGAGCTGCTCCGCATGGCCCCTGTCATCCAGCTGGTGCTCTTCATGTGAGTGGGGTGGGGGGACATCTAGCTGAGCCCAAGCAGCTTTTGTACTAAGGAATTTTAAAGATCCTAAAATCAGTGGTAGAACTATCAGGGGGCATAAAGATGCACATTGGATAATCCGTGGTACACCAATGGATTACAGTGCAGACGACTGCTGAGTCCTATTTTATTTTTTGCGTAGAAGAACTAGGGTGTGGATTAGAGATACCAGGGATGAGAGGACTTATCAGAGACAGAGTGGGGAGCAGACCAGGTGGATCTGCTGAAACACACTGTTGAGGGGAGCAGCTGGTGGGTCAGGAGAGGTCTGCTGCGCTGTGTGGGTCACCTCTGGGGCTGGGGATTGAACTCAGGCCATGGACATGATAGTGCTGAGACTTAACCCCTAGGCCATCAGGGAGGGCCCCACAAGTCCTGTTTTTTATGTACTTTTAGTAATGGTTTGGGATACAGAGAGCAATTCACATAGAAATATTGTCTTAAGGTGCCATGAAAGAGAACTTAAAAGAGAGAGCTTAAAAGGCGGTCGTGCTAGTAATATGTATGAATCCCACAGGATGGGAGTTGTTGGCACTTAGTCTCTGCCATGGTTATAGACTCCATGGAAAAGCACGCCCTGAGACACGCTCACGCTCCATTCACCAACCTGCCAGGTGGTCGCCTCACAAGTTCTGCTCTCACGGGGCTTCCATTCCAGTGGAGAGAAATGAAATAATGTAAAACAGTAATAAACATCACCCAGTGGCCAGTGGCTGTAAGTGGCATAACCGAGCACCTTACGTTATGCTGTTCACAAAACTTCCTGGAGAGGGGTGTTGGAGACGGCTGCGCCACTCACAGGTCAGAGGGGCGCGTTGCCGGGTCACCGTCCTACACGGGGAGGAAACTGGCTTCCCGACAAGTGCCTGGTAGGTTTGTTGAGCTTAGAGTGTCACAACAGGAAGCCCTGTCTGTGGGCTGCATTTCAACTGGTAGGACCAGTAGTAGTTTTATTTGGGGGCAGAGCCCATGTTTGCCACCCCCTAGGGGGTAAGAGGACACCCTCTGGTTCCCTGGGGAGGAGGGCCAGGCCTCGGCCCTCATGCAGACCCCCATGTGGCTGTTTTGTCTTGTATGTCTGCAGCATCCAGGACATTGCAATCCTCTTCAACATCATCATCATTTTCCTCATGTTCTTCAACACCTTCGTCTTCCAGGCTGGCTTGGTCAACCTCTTATTCCATAAGTTCAAGGGGACCATCATCCTGACAGCTGTGTATTTCGCCCTCAGCATCTCCCTTCATGTCTGGGTCATGGTAAGAGTGGAACTCTGGATTCCTGAATCTTTGAGGAGCTAGGAGTAGCTTCTCTCGAAGCTACATGGCACCCAGTACCATGTCACCTGGGCCAGAATCCTCGCTAGAAAGTGGGTGACATGCTCCAGCCTGGAGCACGGTGCGCGCGTTTTGCAGGGCACTTGGCCCAGCCTTCTGGGCGGAAAAGCAGCCTTCCCTGAGAGTTGAAGGACACTTGGAAGCGTTCAGTTCACTTTGCCCCTGACAGCTGCCAGGGCTAAAACAGGAAGGTGAACCTGTTTCCTCATTAGCCGTTTGGGCAGATGGGTGTTGATAACGGGCTATTCTTAGGCATCGCCGTCCCGGGGAAGTGGCCACACAGGCTCGCCGTGTGCCCTTCACTGCCGCGTCCCTCTTCTGGGTCTCTGTCGCTGACACACACGCACCAGCCTCCAAGGTGCCTCTGTCTGTTCTCATTTAGCCCCTGCAGTGGATCCAGCGACCTGGTCTCAGATTTCTTCTGCTTCACAAATTCCCCCATTTCTGGGTGCCTCACACGTGTTCCTCACATACCCATTTTGATGGAACACATTAAACCTCAGAGGCCCTAAAGGCACCTCCTCAGACTGACTCTTCCCCCAGGTTGCCCTGGGGATCCCATGGGGAGGCATAGGGCTTCCAGGAAAGGAGCAGAGCAGAGCCAAAAGCGCTAGGTGCTTCCAGAAGAGGACTGTCTGCCCGGCGCCCTTGCAGCCAAAGGAGGTCCAGCTGTGTGCTGTGAAGCTGCTGACCTGGCAAAGCCCTGCATACACCTGGCCTTCATGTGACAGGAGCTGACTGGGTAGTGTCCACACTGAACTCCTGAGATAACGTTTATCATGTCTCTTTGGCAAAGGCTCTGGAACGAAAGGGAATAATAGTCCCATTTCCCCCACTAGGGTTTAAGATGATTCCTTTTGCTACCAAAAAGGGGAAAAAGTGGAGGGAGGGGGAAGAGAAGCTTGGGACTCCTTTGAGAAACACTCCTTGGAGAAAGAAGGGTGAGAGTAGCATGATTTTAATCCAAGTGGCTCTGCAGTTAGGCAGAAGGAGATGCTCTCTCAGCTGCCCTTTGATTTGTCCATCTGTTCATGTCTCCTCAGAACTTGCGCTGGAAAAACTCCACCCGCTTTGTCTGGACAGACGGACTTCAGACGCTGTTCGTGTTCCAGAGACTAGGTGAGAACCTGAGCACGCTCAGCCTCACTCGCCGGTAGCAGTGACAGCCCTGACCCTGGCCTCGCAGCCCGGCACACTTAGCACGAGCGTACTGCCCCTGGCTTCCTGGGGTGCCTGGGAGGCCGTCAGGCGGGGTCCCCAGCCTTGATGGGCCCTGCGCTTACTCTGGGCAGGACAGGTGCACGACTGAGGCTTCTCTCCGCTTCCCACCCTCAGCGGCAGTGCTGTACTGTTACTTCTACAAGCGGACAGCCGTGCGGCTGGGCGATCCTCGCTTCTACCAGGACTCCCAGTGGCTGCGCAAGGAGTTCCTGCAGGTCCGAAGGTGACCGCTCGTCGCCCCGATGGACGCCTTCCTGACGGAAGCCACGCCGGCCGCTCTGTGGAGGCGGCGTTGGGGTCTCTGCACCAGGAAGCACCGGGCTTCCTCAGACAAGCCGTGGCCGGTGTGTTCAAATGTCAGGAAGAGCCTCCCTCTTGCAAATTAAGTGTCCCCGAGCCGGTGTGTAGCTCCTGCTGGCCACCGACCTCAGGCGTCCCTGTCGCCCCGCGCTGCACTCCTCTTCCTCAGAGGTTGGGTGGCTGCATCCTTGGGAAGCTTTTGCTTAGCCTGGCGTGGGGCGGCTCCCGGCACCCACTTTCCTGGCTCCACACTGATGCCTGAGGGACGCAGAGGGGGAGTTCCGTGCTCCTGACTGATCACTCCTCAGACGTTTATATTTACCCTCAAGGCACTGTTTTTACATTTTATAAATAGGAAATAAACTGAATGTTTTTCTCCAGGAATGGTGGCGTCTCTGTCTAGATCTCTTCACAGTTAGAGGCGGTGGAAGTCTCAGCGTCCATGTGATCCCGGCGGGCAGACTGAGCCACAGAGCAGATACAGATAGATACTTCCTGAGCCCTACTAGGAGATAACATCATAACACCACTTCAGGTTAACATCCCTGCAGAATATTTCTGCAGAACCTTAAGATGTTTCTAACACCCTAACCCCTCCCCTGGAATGCCAGACTTCTGTGCCTACTCAGTCAGACTCTTCCCCTTATCAGAGACCTAAATTCTCCCAGAGGAGTCAAAGTGTCCTTTAGCCTGTCCTGGCAAAAAAAGAAACTTTTTAACTCACGTGCCCATAGTATCAGTTTTCTTTTTTTCTTTTTCATAGTTATCAGCTTTCTATACCATAATGTTAGACGCCGACCATCAAACATCTGTGGCATACAACATAGAACAGGTACCTGGCCCTTGAGTCTTGGGGGTCAACTGATGAGAATTGGGTTCTGATGATTTCAACGGGACTTAGCCTGTGTGTTGTGGTCAGCTCTGGGATGGCCAGGCAGCTGAGGTGAGCTCCTTGACTCTTAGCTGGTTTCAGCTGTGCTCAGCTCTGCTTCTTGCAACAACACACCTGCAGACTAGCCTGGGCAGGCTGCTCGAAGAGCAGAAGAACCCCACTGAGAGTCCCATCCAGCCTTGGCCTGTTCTGTGTCTTTTAGATTCTCACTGGTCAAACTAGTCTGGGACCTGGGGGGCTGAGTGGGACAGTACTAGCGTCCGGCAGGAGCTGCAGCTGGAAGGACGGCAGCTATCTGGTCCAGTCCACAGGTCACACCAGTGCAGAGCAAAGAAACACATTGGCATGCTTTTCTGTGGAAGTCCAGGTCCTCCCTGATGGCGCAAGAGGTTAAGTCCTACTACTAGGAAGCTATCGCAGCCACTGCAGCAGGAGTTCGATCCCCGGCCAGGGAATGACCCACATGGCACAGCAGAACTCCTCTCTCAGCAGTGGATTTCAGTGGATCAGCCTGTTCTGCTTCCTGCTCTGTTTTTTGGTGAATCCTCTCACCCCGCCCCCACACATCTGGCCTGTACCCCAGTGTCTTGTATGCATAAATAAATACATCTTTAAGGAAAAGTCCACATTAACATATTTCAGATTTTGAGAGCCATCTAGTCTTTTGCAACTACTTATTCTGACATTGTAGCAGGAAAACAGCCGTAGAAGATACCTAAAACAATGTGTTCTATAAAACTATTTTAGGACACTGAAATTTGAATGTCATAATTCAAATTTGTCACACAGTATTTTTTCTAATCACCTAAAAATATAAACGTATTCTTAGCTTTTTTTTTTAACCACTAACATTTATTTATTTTTGCATAGAAGAAGTGGGGTGTAGACAGAGATGCAGGAGGTGAGAGGATTCACCAGAGACAGAGTGGGGAGCAGAACAGGCAGATTCACAGATACACTGCTGAGGGGAGCAGCGGGTGAGACAGTAGAGATCTGCTGTGCATGGTGACCTTTCTGGCCAGGGAGAGACCTCAGGCCCTGGAGGTGACAGGCTGAGATAACCTCCAGGCCACCAGGGAGGCCCTCCATACTTAGCTTGAGGGCTACATAAAGAGCCTAAATTTACCACCAAGTCACAGTATGCTGATCCCTGTTCTATAGTAAGACTCTGGGGAAAGAAAGATGAGAGAACACTGGGAATGAGATGCCAAAATTTTAACAGATATTTAAGAAGAAAAAGCACAATATAAAAATGTCTCCAGGACCCACCCTGGTGGCGCACGGGTTAAAAGCACAGCACTATGAAGCTATCACAGCCGCTGTAGCACGAGTTCGATTCCCGTCCAGGGAGCTGACCCACATTGCACAGACCTCTCTCTCCCACTGCTCCCCTCAGCAGTGTATTTCAGTGAATCAGCCTGTTCTGCTCCCCCCTCTGACTCTGGTGAATCCTCTCATCCCCCACCTCCTCTGGCCTACAACCCAGTTCTTGAATGCATACATAAATAAGAAATAAATCTTGGGGGGAAAAAAGTACAAGTCGATTAGAGTCATTTCAAAAAAGATCTTACAGGAATAGCATTCCTCTTTGCTCGTCCCAATTTCTGAAAGGCTATTTTCTGTGCCACAAAATGAACCACCTGGATTGTTCTCTGCAGTCTTTGCAGCTGGTGAGTACTACCAAATGCCTGTTTCCTCACAATATTTATGGTACTTTGTCACCTTGTGCATCTCATAAATACATATGTATATTTACATATGTTTATTTTCCTTTATAGTTAATATATCTACCTGGTATAAAGTTTAAGTTTAAAGTGGCCTATGCAGTTAATTTCCCACAGCTCTAGGTTGATTCTTCTCCTTGGCAATCTATACTTACTTCCGTATTTCTTATAATGTAACAATTCAGAAAAATGTTTACAAAAGCAAAAAACTGCTGTAATCTCATGCTGTTATTTATTTCAAATCCTTGACAATATGTACATATAGTTTATACACAGTTACGATTATGGGGGATATGCAATAAAATATGCTGTTTCCCACTTAGGGATAAGTATGATGTTTTTAAAGTATAATGTGAGTTCACTGCCTGGGTACAGTTCACTTTCAAAGGCCACGGGAAATTACCACTTTAAAAGTGCTTAGACTCTTAGACTTTAAGTAGGATGAAAGTGCTCTAGCTGGTCAATACTCACTCCAGGAACTAGAAACATCAGATAAAATACAAATTGCTTTTTTTTTTAAAGCCCTAGAGAACTGCTGAAATAAAGATAGCATAAAGGGCTTAAAATTTTGAAGTACAGACACTTTGAAACCAGGGCAACAAAAATCACAACCGCACAACAGAACCTCGAGAAGCCCCTATCTCCTACGACGGCCCTCCAGCGCCCTCTACTGACAAGCTTAAAGTGGTGCTGGAGAAACAGCCCCACTCCACTAGGGAAATCACATTCTGAAGCTGAGGGAATCTGTATTAATCACTGTCACATCAGAGAAGCCACAATATTTAGAAATTAAATAATCCCTGGATCAAAAAAAGATATCAAGGGCCCTCGCTGGTGCACAATGGGTTGAAGTGCAGCACTGAGGAAGCAAGCCCCAGCCACTGCAGCAGGAGTTCGATCCCCGGCCAGGGAGCTGACCCCCATGGTGCAGACCCCTCCTGTCCCCTTGCTGCAGCAGTGAACTTAAGTAGATCCGCCTGTTCTGCTCCCCATTCTACCTATGGTGAAGTCTCATCCCTTGCACCTCTGGCCTGCATTCCAGTTCTTGTATGCATAAATAAAAAAATTTAAAGAAATCATAAGGAAATTAGAAATTACTTGGAAATTATAATGAAAATGCAACATATTAAAATACCTGTGATGCATCTTACATTAAGGAAGAAGATCTAAAACCAATGGTCTAAGCTTTCACCTTAAACTAGAATGTGTGGGCTGTTGTCTCCCAGAGAAGCTTGTTAGAGATTCAGACTCATGGTTTGTACTGGAGACTGGCCACAACCTATGCACATCCAACTCCCTCCAATAGCAGGTCCCCAAAGTCCAAACTCCCAGAAGGGAAGTTTCCTCACAAACCGTGAATTCTCTCCATTTAGGCACTGTAACGTGAGAGTAGCTCCATAAGATATATAGATCAGTGGGCATGACTGTGTTCTGCCCATAATTTAGCAAAGCAAGCAGCTGGCCACTCCTTTTCAAGAGGGATGCCTGAGGCCCGGGGCGCTGTTCACCTTTCCTCTGGCCTAGGAGTCAGGGGAGGAAGGTGCGCTGGATCCTGCTCCCTTTCCGCCCCTCCCCCTTGCTTGTCTGACCTTGATACCCGGAGCCCTCCCAGGGCGGCAGGTGCAAGTAGAGATCTGGAGACTGGAGAAGAGAGGAAAGTGAGGTCGGAAGTTTATCCACGGCCTCTCAGTGCAAGCCCCGAGGAAGGATTTCTCCATTACCCTCGCCAATTCAGGAAACTGCTTCCGTTCCTTCCCCTTTGTGTCTAGAAGTACACCTACCGCCCCACATCCGCTCCACCGGTTAGGAGTACAGCACCTGCCTTACAGGTTACTCTCAGCTCAATACCTGCCTGAGTGTGACTGTTTCCTGGCCCGGCCGACAAAGCCAAGTCAGCCCGAATGCACTCAAGACCCCTTTCCTTTCCCTCCTGCGGGCAACGATTGCGATTGCGCCAAGTAGCAAGGAGGCTTTACACCCCAGTGCACCCCTTCTCTCACGTCCCACCTGGCCGCCTTCCGCTGCACGTTTCGGGTCACGCGGCGACCACCGCTCATCTCCGCGTGTCCTTGGCACCCAGCCACCTGGGCGCAAGCCGACCGCGGCAGCAGGCCGATGCCAACCCACCCCCGGCGTCTGCAGGGCACCGTGGCGCGCACGTTCTCTTTCTCCACGGCTGTGGGGAAAGAATCCTGCAGCTAGGGCCAGTCCCAGTCCCGGGGTCACAAGGCCACAGCCTGCAACTGTGCCACCACACTGTAACCTGGGGGTAGGGAAGCCCGAGAGCTCCTCTCTGTCCACGAAGTCTGCGAGCCACAGCAACGGGAGGGGTCACTGTTTGTCCCAAGACTCTGCGAGCTCAACCCAGAGCTACAGCCCTTAGGGGGCCCGCGCTGCTCCGCGCGCATGCGCACACGGCACCGAGCGGCCCCGGCTCCGAGTAACCACTGAGTCCGTGGGGGAGCAGAGGGGCCAGCAGCCGGGGCCGCTCTGTCCCCCTCTTCCGGCAGCGCCTCGCTGCTCCGGGAGCGGCTGTAGCCGCGTACGCAGTTTCCATGGGGACTGAAGATGGCGTCGCGAGGTGAGATTTCCGAGGTGTGTGAGTCCCTGGTCCTGAGCCCTCAGTCACTCACCCCGTTAACCCCCCACTTCTCTCCCGAGTCTGCCCTAAGCCCTCCACTCTCGGATGTTGGGGACCTCGCTCCTTACTTGTCCAAGGGGGGCTTCTTAGCCCCACGCACCCTGAGTGCCTGAAGGTTTAGAGGTGCGGGTCTCAAACACCCCCAAATTCTGGGCCGGCTGAGATAGGAATTTGCTGTACGAACTCGATCAGGCCGGGGGTGGTTCCTGCGCCCCAGTTTCCCCTCCCAAATAGTAACGGGGTTGGCTCTTTCACGCAGAAGCCGAGTCGAATTTGACGGCGATTCCGCAGAAAGAGGACCAGAAGACCCCCACCCCACCCTCCAGATCGCACGCACACAACCCCCTCATTATCAGCAATCCGAAATGCCCCAAGTGGTCCATCCCAATAGCTGCGACCTCTTGTTCCCTGCAAGGTAGACACAGACCCCGTCAGAACAGACTGAGCCGCCCTCCTGCCCACCCTCTCCTCTGCTCATCTTTTCAGGTGAACGACTGTCCTCCACTCCCCTGGAAATCCTGTTCTTTCTGAACGGGTGGTATTATGCTACCTATTTCCTGCTGGAACTCTTCATCTTTCTGTATAAAGGTAAGGAAGGCCTAGAGGGACTGCCCTTGGCTGGCACCCCTTCCCCACTTCTACGAGAGCCAGAACCTTCCCAGAGCTGCCTCATTTCTCACTGTTCTCTAACTCCCCCACTTCCCTAGCTCCTCTTCACTGCAAGGTGGAAGTCTCTTCTTCAGTAACTTTCCTGAGAAGGGTAGATCGACTAGCAGTTCGCATACCCAAGTACAGCTGATGGTTTGGGAAAGGAGAATCCCCACACCCATGGAATTAGAGTAAACTGCCTAATAAGGAGCCCGCCTCCAGCGGACAGTCACACCTGAGTTAACCGGCCCTGCAGGGTTAAGGGGTCCTGCCTCCACTGGCCCATGCGCTCAGGGAAAGCTGAGAATACTGTGTCTTTATTCCCCAGCGTGTGGGAGTGCTTGTGGGTGCTGTTAGATATTGTGGGCAAACTCTGGCTTTTGCATCGGCAGGTCTGCTGCTCCCATATCCAACAGCCAATCTAGTATTGGATGTGGTGATGCTTCTCCTTTACCTTGGCATTGAAGTAATTCGACTGTTTTTTGGTGAGTGTTCAGAAAATATTTCCATTCCTTACAAGACTAGCTGGTATCTGTAACTTGACTAAGTTCATAACCCAGGCTCACAGTAAGAGATAGGATCTGTGGTATCTTCTGTCGCTCCCTCTGTGAGGGTTGCGGTATATCCCACTGCGTCCCCTGTGCAGTTGCAAGCTGATTCACATTTTGGGTTTGTTTACCTGTCTGCTGCTCTGTCAGGCTGGGAGGTAGAGAGAGGCAGGAAAATGCCCTCCCAGACGCCTAATTGCTATGATTGCCCTGTCCTTTCTGGTTCACTTGGGGAGATACATCAGTTGTAACTTCCTGTCCAGGTCAGTATATGCCTGTACAGGTCAGCATTAAGATCACTCCACTTCTCTGAAAAAGGATAAAATTTATGGTCCTGGATACATAAAACAAATTCCTTATTAATTAGACTATCTCCATCCCTGAAAACTGAGAACACAAACTGAGGAATACTTGGAACACATATGAGCAAGAATAAGGAAGGCTCTCATAGGGACCTCTCCTGACCTGCCCGCTGCAGCCCTCAGCAGTTATTTCAATCTGCCAGTTCTGCTCCCCACTCTGTCTCGGGTGAATCTTCTCACTCCCCACACCTCTGGCCTGCACCAGTTCACTATGCGTAAATAAATCTTAAAAAAAAGAAAGAAAGAAGCCTCTCATAAATCACTGAGGAAAAGACAGCCTAATTTAAAAATTGGTAAGGGACATAAGAGTAAATACAGAAAACCAGTATGTCAAAATGCCTAAACTCACTAATGAAAAGCAAATTTAGATTAAAAAGATTTCTGGGCCCTCTCTGGTGGCTTCAAGCACAGCACTATGGAGCTATCAGCAGCCACTGCAGCAGGAGTTCCATCCCCGGCCAGGGAGCTGACCACATGGCGCAGCAGGCCTCTCCTGACCCGCCCGCTGCTCCCTCAGCAGTGGATTTCAGTCCATCTGCCTGTTCTGCTCCCCACTCTGTCTCTGGTGAATCCTCTCACCGCCCCTGCACCTCTGGCCTATACCCCAGTTCTGTAATGCATAAATAAATCAATCTTAAAAAAAAAATAGATTTCCAATGACCAGTACTAGAGGGTGTGAGGAAGGCCTCTGTATAGCCCCATGCTTTTTAGTAATATAAATTTGTAGAACCTTTTGGGTAGTATTTTACTATGTAAAATTTGTCATAGTTTTACTATGTAAAATTCTTTTTTAAAAAATTTTTAAAGTGATTTTTTAAAGATTAATTTTTAATTATGCATACAAAAACTTGGGTACAGGCCAGAGGTGTGGATGGTAAGAGAATTTACCAGACAGTGGGGAGCAGAACAGGCAGATCTACTGAAACACACTGCTGAGGGGAGCCGTGGGGATACGGCGAGGTCTGTTGCACCAGTGGCTGGTGATAGCTAGAGTGCTGAGACTTTAACCCCTGTACCACCAGTGAGGCCTCAAAATTCTTAATCAGATTTTTGTAAGGGAACAATTTCACTTCTAAAACTGGTTGAAAAAGAAACACTGCCACATAGAGGTGAAGGTGAGAATGTTCATTGCCACACGTTTTGTCACATTAAAAACAACCCAAACACCTGTAGGCACCTTGCCAGTCCCCTCACTTCCCACCCGCCCACTTCCGGAGGCCAGGGAAAGTGACTCATTGGAGGCGACCCCATGGCATGTATCTGACAGGGACAAAAGGAAACCTCTGCCAGCGAAAGATGCCCCTTGGAATCAGTGTGGCCTTGACCTTCCCATCTGCCATGATGGCCTCCTATTACCTGCTACTGCAGACCTATGTGCTCCGCCTGGAAGCCATCATGAACGGCATCTTGCTCTTCTTCTGTGCCTCGGAGCTGCTGCTTGAGGTGCTCACTCTGACAGCTTTCTCCAGGTACTGCTGCTGAGGGTCTGTCTTCCAGCACCTCAGGGTTGAGGCCCCATCCCATCCCCACCCAGGGAGGGGTTCACTTGAAGCCTGAGGGTCTAGAGAACTTTCAAGGGGTAAGGGTGTCTACAGGTCTGCCTTTCCCATTTGTTCTTTAGGGCCAAAGACTGGGAATATGGAACAGTTCAGGCTAGCTGTTCTTGTTCACTGGTCTTTTAACATTTTGTTTTTTTCTGCCACCAGTATGGACAGGATTTGAAGTGGAAAATTCCAGCCGGCAGCCCTCAGGGGCTGAGACCACATACACTTCTGCCACACCAGTGAGAAGTGATGGGCCACATTGACCTGGGGGTCGCTGCTTTTTTTCAGCATAGACTTTGGGGTCACAAAGGCTGCTTAAGGCCACTGGGCACCATCTGGACCATTGCCCAGAGACTTCTGTCCTCCAGTGTGGGAGGTGGAGTGGGCAAGACTGGCCCTTCTCAGAACTGGTCCCCTGCTGACCTCAAGTTCTCTTCATCATCGTGGCCAGAGCACCTTGCCTGGGCCACGCAGGCTCCTTGGGCTTCCGGCAGGACCTCACCACACGCTCCTTCCGTGCTGTGCCACACGGGCACAGCCCCAGGACAGTGAGTTCCCAGAACGATGCAAAAACCGCTCATTCATCCCTCGGAGACAGAGCTCCAGGACTTCTTTGGTAGATCATAGTGTTATTTTTCTACTCTCATCATGAACAAACATTCTTTTATAATAAATATGTATTTTCTATTTGGGGGTTGTAGACTTTCCTTATGGCACCTGTGCCTACGGTTTCATGCAAACCCAAGAGAAGGCAGAGACGAGCCCACTGGCTTGGCCCCAGCCTGTGCTGAAGACACCATTAGAGCCAGACAGGCGCCAGGACAGGTGTGCAGGGAGTGTGAAGGGTGCCCTGGCTTTCTTCCCCAGCTCCAGCCTGACCTAATCCCTAAAGGCACTGTCAACGCCGGTATCTTCTTGGGGTCTGTTCTCCTGCAGAGACTACTTGTGTCCTTCAGTCTTGTCTCTCCTTCCTCTTACAAAACTGATCATAGTCATTAGCTTTCCAGGTTGAAGCGTAAATAACTGGAAGATGCTCATTCTAAACATACCATAGTTTGTTATTTAAAGTTTCAAGTTAACACCAAGGGAATGTATACGTACCCATATAATTTTAAGTTGGAAAAACATTGCCCTAGATGAGAATCATTCCCTTCTCCAAAACAACATCTTTAAAACTCTCATCTTGCTTGGTAGTGGCCATTTTCCTTTGAGCCCCAAGAAGCCACTAGCAGCCACGCCAGGCTCCTCTGGAAACCTTGAGCCATGTCAGCAGGCAGAGGAACCTAGGAGACCTGCTTTTATTCAAAGCAAAGCGTAACTGGTCTTTAAGTGTGCCCGCTGGTTTTCAGCTCTACTTTTCTCTTGTGAATAGGCTCATTCTCATCCTAGGTCTCCAGTGTCCAAAGCACGAATGCCCTGCCTCCCACTCGGCCAGTGCTGGGGGCTCCTGGCTGCCCCTGGGTCTGTCCGGAAACTAACAAAGTGTGATAAAGCTTCAATAGGATTGCCCTGGTTGCCATCACAAACCCCACAAATACGTGGGTTGGCTGCTGCTCTCTCTACCCTGCTCTGAAGAAAGTGCTGCCATCAACTGGGCAGCGTCCTTTCCCCATGGCCTCCCAATTTTATTTTAGAGGCTCAGTGGTTGAGGTCACTCTTCCAGCAACACAGATAATGGAGAGTTAAGAGGTTTTTCTAAATGAAATGTTAGAATTCAAAGGGACATTCGAGATCGACTTAATCTAGCTCCTCACTTTGCTGTAGAGATCGGAAGTATCAGGCAAGCGTCACACAACTGGTCACCAGCAGCTGGTCTAGCCACACTGTCAATTCTACTCATCAGACACCATGGAGGATGAGAATGAATGGTTGAAAATGGGGATCGCGTTACAACACAACCGACGTCCCGGTTATTTGGGAGCATCGCACACTGCTCCCCCTGGGTAGCACCTTAAATGCTCATTCCTGCTGATGCCTGCTGGACCCACCTGCGTGGACGCCGATCACAGAACAGTAACTGAGGCAGCAGAGTCCAGGTTTACACTGTCGGAGGTACTGTTCACTGGGGTGGCGTGGGGAGCCCCCAGACTGAAGACTCAACTGTTCCGGGACAGGAAAGGACTGAGCAAACAAGCAGGCCCCGGTTGAGGTCTGCCCAGTTGCTTACACTTGTGGCTAGAACTGCCTAGCCCTCAGTGACCACCTCTGGGGGCTGAGGTCTTGTGCAGCTCAGGAAGCACTCAGGACAAATTCAGGTCTCGGGCTCTGGGGCGGCAGCAACTTGTAGGCCAATATTCATTCAGTACCTGGCAGAGATGTACTCCACATTCAGTTTTAAATATCAGCAGTTGGGATTTGAGCCTAGCGAGCGCCCAGAGCCATTCTATACCACCACAGTAGCTCTGAGATGAAACTGGAGCGTATTCACATCTCCGGACGAGCAGTCCTCACATGTCGGTGACAGCAGACCATCGGGAACTGGAGGTTCCTGCACTTCAGAGCCTTGCAGCACAGCAGAAACTGGCGTGCGGGCAGCAGATGGCAAAATTCTGGTTCAAGATCAGAGCTGCTCCCACTCGTCCTTTCATTTCACATTGTCAGAGACCCCTTCGTCAGCTTACTAAAGCTGACTTGCGTCTACACTGACCTTGCCTTTACAAAACCCAAGATACATCATCTGCTCTCCAGTTTTGTTTTTTTAATCATGTAACAATTGTTAAGAAAAACCAGCCTTCTGGAGTCCCACAACGCAGCACACACTTTTAGCTCGGCTTTCTAATTCTAGCTCGTGTTTACATAGCAGTTCAAGCATGTTCACATGTGCCTCCTGCCTGCCCAGGTTAGAAGTGGGTACAAGCAGCCATTAGCAATCATCTGACTCCTGGCAGGGAGGCTTCCCTGCCTGGAGCTGCCAGTGGGCTAGAGGGAACCCAAAGTGGGACATTACTCTGAGGATAAATCTCAGCCATCCTGGGCTTGGAATTCTTCACTCAGGCCATTTAGGTGGAGGGCGGAGTAAGCTAAACTTCCCAGGGCACAAAGGCCAGCACTAGTGGCCTCCCAGAGGCCTCTTCGGCTGCACTACCACCCACAGCCTCTACCGTCAGCCCAAGCCCATGTCCCAGACACCTCGACAAATCTATTCAATGCAGAATCCACAAAACAGCTCACCCCATTTATTATTTAAAAATATTTTGTTACAAAAGGAAAAAAAATACAATGCAGTATAAAAGATTGACAGCGTCATCAAGTTTATTACACAATTTTCAACCTATCAGAAAGACAAACGAATCACCGACAACAGGGGGACGGGGGCCTCGGCCTTCTGAGGGCTGGTTTTTTTTTTCTTTCTTTCTTCCTTTTGCTATCAGGAAATAAAACTAAAAAATTGTGTCACTGAATAAAAACAAAACAAAAATGGGGAGAAAAAAGATCTCCGGGTAAACCGCTTTTCTGGTATTCTATATATTTTCCTTTAACTGTCACCTTACTTGGTTTTCTCTACACTTTAAAAAGACACCCGGAGCTGCTCTCAAGGATCCGCACGTCACTTAACACTGGGCTGGCTGGGCAGGGTGCCATGTTCCGAAGTCCAGGTGGGGACAGGAGGCGGGGGAGCGACGAGGCTGGAGCCTCTGTGCCAGGGCTGAGCGTCACCAGCCCCTGGGTCCCTGTGACCAGTTAAGGGCTAGGTCAGAAACGTGCAGGGCAGGAAGGGTTCAGTCCAGCTCAGTCTTTTCCTTCTGAGCCAGGGGGTCTCCGGGGACCCTACATCTCACACGCCAAGTCTCATCTCACGCACCACATCTCTTATGTCAGGTGTCAGAGCCCTGGAGGTGCCGCAGAGCGGTGTGACCCCGCGGGCCCTGCAGGGCGCCGCCGCTGCGTGTCCTTCAGCAGCAGCCACAGCACAGTGGGTGTCACGGGGAAACAAGTCCACGTGCTGTGTAGCAAACAGCCCAGACTGCCGGGCCTCGGAACTCGGAGATGAGCTCACTCAAGTCAGGCTCCACCTCTTCCTTGTGCCTCGTCGGAGGCAGGAAGCACTTCCAGGCAGACTGAGAGGAGCCGTCCAGTCACCAGCTGAAAGGTGGACAGACACCAAAGCCGTGACGCTCCCCTCCTGGTGCCAGACCCTCCCGCACCTAGCAGAAGCGTGTACCGGGACGCAAGCCGCATGCATACCCGCCGCGGACAGGGCCTGCGGGCACGGCCATGTCCTGCCCAGCCTGCTCCTCCCTGCTCCTCTGGGACTTCACAGGCGTTCTTTGCTGCTGAGGTCTGATGTCCCCACTCCCAATGGCAGTGCCTTCCTCTAAAACAAGGAAGCAGCCTATTGGAGAAGGGCTACAGAGTTGGAACGGAACAGCCCCAGGGAAAGAACACCTAGTCAGCTGGTTATTGCAAGAGGTAACCAAGCACGAAGCAGCAGAGGGTGGTAACTCGCTCTGCCAGACTCCCCAGCAGAAAGCAGCCTTATGGGCCTTCTCTGCTTCATCCACTGAGGAGGCTGGGCAGCAGGGAACTGGAAGGCTCAGCCCTCTGGGGGTCAGGGAAACAAACCGTCACTATGTAAAAGGGAAAAGCAAGAACAAGAGTAGCTTTTCCTAAGGTAATTTGTCCTCATGGGCTGCCTCAAAGGCTGGGGAGGAAAAGGAGTTCGACAAGTAAGTGGTATGTTAGCAGGGGTTTGGACCCTCTTGGCCCCTCCAACGCAGTGCTGAGGGCGGGACCCTGGGCATATATTTGGCACACCCAGTCACTCTCCCACATCCCATGTGGAGGATCCATTTTCTCTGGGAAGAAAGTCTTCCCACTAACCTCACCACTGAACTGCTCCTGGAGAATCAGAAACTCGTATGTTTCCTTGGACAAAGCACCATTCTCTATGAAAACCAGGGGCCTGGACTGTGTTCTCCTGTCTGCCACCCCTCCCAACTACACCAAGTCTTTCGGTTATTTCCCCTGGCAAACAGGAGGTATGCGATTAGGAGAGCTGCCAGGCAGTCTTCAATTCTGTACGGCAGAGGGTGTTCCCTGGGTGTCGAGGGAGTTGGGGTTTAGAGGAAGGGAGAGAGGGGTGGAGTGGCCTCCGTCCTTTAGTCCTGATCAAGGTGAGGAGATGCAAGTCCATTAAAAAAAATTTGCTTCCAACCAGACTCCTGCGATGAGAACACCAGAAGAGAAAAAGGAAAACACAGGTTAGGAAGAAGTTCCTTTCAGATTTATAGGTGCCTGTAAATTACACTGGTATTTTCTAAAATAACAACATACAAATTAAGGAATGCAGGCTGAGAGTGCAAGTCTGGAGGAAGTAAAAGGAAGAGGGCAAGGCCGGGAGTGGCTGGGCTGGGAGTGCTGGGGGACTGGTCAGAAACTATAGTGAGCGCAAAGGAAAAAGCAGCTACGTCTTCTTTAAGGCCAGTGGCAAAACACAATGAAATGAGGCCTCAATGCAGTTTGAAAAGGAGAGTTTGGCTGGAAAAGTATAGAAACTGCATTTTAAGAAAAACTGCCATAAAGGGGAACAGAATTTAAGTGCTATTGCAGAAGATCTTTCTGAGCAAGTCATAGCTTACCTTCAGGGGAAGGCAAACATCTGGAAATGGGAGGGACACGGACTAAGAAAGTGTGTCCGTAACCATATCCATG